ATAGAAAATAAACGAGGTCCCTGTAAGATATGCAAACAATCATTTATAATTTATCAAGGGTTCCTAAGGGTGGGAGGGGAAAAAGAGGAGCTGATACCAAGGGATCAAGTAGAAAGTACCGTAAATGTTTAGGAAATGTTGATGGCACCATATGTACAAATATGCTGGATACAATTGATGCATGGAATGTTCTAAGAGCTGTAAGAGTCCCTAATAAAGTGATTTTTAAAAAAGTCTTGGAAACTAACAGGCGCACTTCTTCCCTGGCTTAGACGGGGGTGAGGGGACAGATGTTCAGCTCCCTTTCTCCTGGTGCTTCTTCTAGAATTACCCTGGAAGCTTTGCAAGGGCATCTTAAGAAAACCATCCCCCCAGCCCCCCAGCCCATGCTTTATTCCTCTTTGTGTTTAGTTTAACTCGGTATTTGGAGACCTTTCTGGGGTGGGTGTAGGGATTAGGGGCAGATATTGTTCTTCTTTCCTGGGTTTACTATCTGCTCCTTACTTTACTGCCCCTGGCCTCCCCATACTACTGCTTCTCACTTCACAAGAGCAAGAGCATTCCTGGAATTCCATCCCCCCCCTCCCATGGTGAGTTACCCCACACATGCTCCTGAGTGCACTGTGCACTTCCCCTGTTTGCCTTTGCCTCCTCTTCTTCCTTTGTGCACTCCTTTGGACAGTGCAGGGACTTCCGGGGAAGATCGCATTGTGCTCAGGGCAAACACATCAAACAGGCCAGCTTTGTTTTGTTTGTTCCTCATGAATTTGTTTTAATGAGTGTGTGTGTGTGTGTGTGTGTGTGTGTGTGTGTGTGTGTGTGTGTGAATTAGGTGAAGGGCTTTGTGTTTCATCCCAGGCTATTTGTTTTTGAAGAACTTGCTTAGCTGATGAGTTGTTAGGTTGTTGTATTTGTAGAGGATATCCCTTTTTTTTTTTTTAATGCTGAAAATCAGTCAACATTCTCCCCTTTCCCTGCCCCTAAAATGTTTTGGTCAGTAGCTTATCTACCTCTTTATCTATCTATGTATCTAAAATGATGTCTTCTTTTCTCATGACAAATCATTCTTCTGGTTGGTGGTTAGGCAAATTATGCTTAGAACTAATAAAGGTGGCGATTATTTTTATTGCTACGTCTGGACGCTCTTGGTGATCTCAACCCAGCACTCTTCATTAGCAAAAGTAATAGGACGGATCAAAATGTCACTCCTAATTAGGTCTTGTTAAAGCTCTTTAAAAATTACCTCTCTCCCATCCACCAGCCAGGCGGTTTGTTTCTTGGGAACTTTTTAAGCCCCCTGTGCGTTTTCACTCAAAGCCTAACATCAAATAAAACAGATGTCTCCAAGAATTCTGTTTCCACTTGTGAAACCGGTTTCATTTGGAAATCAGGCCAAAGCCTTTGTTTTTTGCAGTTATTTGGGGATCTACCCGCTAAGCGCAGAAGCCAGCCCACTGGATTCTTGTAAACAGGCGTCTGAGGCTCCACAGCCTGCTGGAGACAAAGCTGGATCCCCTCTGTGCCCATAAGGGGGTGGGGGAGGGGAGGCACTGCACACAAAGGGAGGGGATCCTTGGCAGCCACGTGGCAATGGCCCCAATGGGGACACCACTGCGCTGGGTTTTCCCAGTCCTCCCAGTTCTAAACAGCTTTGCACTTCTCCAACTGTCCGTATTGATTTGAGGATCTGAAAAATGCGATTGCTCATAGATTTGAGAGCAGCAGTTAGGTATTCTCATAACCCAGCCTCTGAAGGTCAGGTCTGAAACTGGAAAGTATCTACAGAGAGGTCATTGCCTTCCTAGTGTGAGTGGATAACAAGAAAGAAAGCCCCTGACACTTGGTCTGGTCTCTGGTTTGGGGCTGCTCTGGCTTTTTGGGTCTGGGGATAAAGTCCTGTCTGGGGACCTGTGGAGGTCAGGCACTTGGGTTTCCCCCTGTAAATTGGAATTTTCTTATTGCCAGTTTGGGAAGAGATTCCTAAGTGTTTACGGCACAGAACCAGGAAAGGGTGACGTCGAGAACGTCTGAACTTCACAGAACTAGCTAACAGGGAAATAAATACCAATATGTCCATATATCTTGTTAAGTCATCTCGCTTTGACTCCTCTCCAACATGTTTCCAGTGGTGAACTGGTGATGAATCATTCTCTTAATCTAAGAGACCTTTGAATTGCTGAAAAGGCAGCCAGAGTTCATTATTTCAGAGATGACCCCAATCTAATCTGTCTGGTTATTGAAAATGGCTTGATTTGCCAATGCTAAATCCAGTAAGCTTTTGGAAACGATCGTTTACTTGGCAGACTCTGAGCCATGGGTGCTCTGTTTCCAGATGTGGATGAGGAGCTGCTGCAGCGGTGCGTGACAAACCCTGGTTTAGATTGTCTTTACTTGTTCACACTTTTCTTCCTGGTCCTGGGAGCATTCCTGTCTCCCTGCCTCACCGGGTCACACACCTGGCTGGAAGCTGTCAGGCGCATCCTTAGTACAGCCAGTGAGAAGGCCACAGGGTAGCCTGGAGGTTCCAGGGTGAATCTCAGGGACCCAGAAGAGATTTTCATTAGAAGTCACCTCCCTCTGAGCCAGTAACTTCTGGATCACCAGAGCAGACTCCTGGAAAGTTTTGTTGTGATAGGAATATAAAAGCTCATTTTAAAAGCTTCCTTGCCATCTTCCGCTCCTGTCGACTTTGTGGAGGCTTTGATTTATCAGGGGACAGTGTGTCATGTGTTTTCCTGCTAGAAAGAGAAAGTGATGTCAAAATGGAATTGGATTTCAAACAGACTTCGTGGTTTAGCTTTTCTCTCTCAACTCGAGAGTCAAAATATTGTAATGTATTTTGTAGCCAGTGAACTGATTTTCTCCTTTCTTTCTATTGTTTTAATGTTAAGATTCATGAAATACTGGACTACTGAGAGGGGGCCAAAAATAGCCACTGGGAGGGTTAGGGTCAGGGTCAGGGTCAGGGTTAGACATAGGGTAAAAAAATAGCTACTGGAATGCTGTATTTAATTTTATAGTCACTCCATTTTATCAAGCTTGACCTCCTGTAATGGCCCATCCTCTGGAATACTTAAAGAGAATCTCTAAAGACTAGAGAGTATTGCGGTTCCAACAGTTGGGTGGGTGGTAGCTTGTAGTGTTGGCATCCCTAGATGGTGCAAATGGGCCATGTACTTGGCTGCTAACTAAGAGGCTGGCAGTTTGAGTCCACCTCCCGAAAAAGTCTGGCTTTATAGGGATCAGCTGTTATAACCCGATGGGGGGCCGCTCTGCTCTAACACACACGGGGTCACCAGGAATCAGAATCAACATGATAGCAACCATTGCGGGGTGGGTTTTTTTTTTCCCTACACTGGACCAGGGAGAGGACTGGGCTTCCGTGCCAAAATCTTTGGATCATGACTCACTGTCAGTGTTAGAGATGGAACTGGATACAAAAGCGACCTACTCCAGTATGGCATTTATTACATTCCCTGTTCTTCACAGGAAGCATCTATATAAAGTTTGGGAATATATTTTGGTAAGCAAGCTCAAAGGTCAGTGGCTTATCTAAACTTGTCACTTTGGGACAGAGCTAGGACACGTATGTGGTTTACTGTGGTTCTCTTTCTACAGATGAACTGACCCTTCTTCCTCCCCCACCCTCCCACCTGGACTCTTCTATGACAGACGAGTTTTTAGTTCTGTTCTCAGGAAGGATCTTGGCTTATGGTGCTTGCCACCATTGGCTTTTACCAAGAGCAGCAACAACACACCCATGATGACCGTGCTGAAAACCCCCTGCCATCGAGTCTACTCTAACTCATGGAGATCTGACAGAACTGAGCGCAACTGCCCCATAGTGTCTCTGCGACTGTGGAACTTTATGGAGGAGCGGCTGCTCGTTTGAACCACTGACCGTCCACTTAGTGGCCTACAGCCAAGCCCATGTGCCACCACAGCGCCTGTAACAGCCGTACAAACGAAAAGCCATGAGCCATTGTGTCTGTTCTGACTCCGAGCGAGTTGATCCCACATTAAATTCCAGGCACTATCTGGATTATGTAATGCTCGACAGATATTGCCGGCATCTATATTTATGAATGAAGAAACTGTCACAGGGGACCCTAGTGCTATGGAGGAGATGGATTTGTACTCAAGACCTGGGTTCTCACTGGGCACTTTGGGCTTCTGATCTTTGAACCTGGTAGATTTCTACTCTGGGTCCCAGGTCCTCCCTTTGAATTCAGGGCAGACACGGTGATGATTTACTTATCTTCGGGTGGAGAGAAATCTATTACTAACCTGGTTTTTATTTGTTTGTTCACATTCTCTTTCAAGGATCCAGGGCTGACATTCAAGGGCTTTAGCTTGCAAGGGCAAGAGGGAAGGCATGGCAGACAAAGGGATTTCCATCTGAAGACATGTTTCTTCTTCTGTCCACAGGCTCTCCTTACTATGACAATGTCCGGCCCCTTTCGTATCCGGATTCCGATGCTGTGCTGATCTGCTTTGACATAAGTAGACCAGAGACTCTGGACAGTGTCCTGAAAAAGGCAAGTGCTGGGGGACAATGGGACAGCTTGGTGCTGGGCAACCTCTACAGTGGAAACGCAAAACCGGCAGGGGCGGGACCCGGCCACACAAGTGCTCACATAATGTCTGGCCTTGGGTTTTGTCGCTGGACACTGAAGAGAACAAGGTTGCAGCAAAACAAGGATCAAATAGGTCACTAGTGTTGACAATGAACCTGTTACAGTGTTTGTTTCCTAAAGCTACGGAGCAAAATACTCTTTTAAGAGCCTCCTTTTTAGTCCTTTTGGGAGAAGTGATGGGTAGCTAAAGAACAGTTATTTCTTCTTGCCGTCATACATGTTGGAGGAACCTTGGTGGCAGAGTGGTTACGAGTTGGGCTGCTAACCACAACGTCAGCAGTTTGCAACCACCAGCCACCACTCCAAGTGAGAAAGAGGAGGCTTCGTATTGCTGTCAAGAGTTCCCGTCTCAGAAACTCACAGGGCAGTTCTACCCTGTCCTATAGGGCCGCTGTGAGCCCGCATTGAGTGGAACCCTAGTCTTTAATTTACTTCCTTACTCCCTCCCTTTCTCCTTCCCTGTATGCTTCCTTCCTTCCCCTCCTTCTCTTCCTTCTGTTATGAAATTCATTCGCTCCACATTTATATTTGTACATTGAAATGAATGACAGGATCTCTGTTTTACTACAGACGCCACATCTCACTAAGAAGTTTGTATTAGAAACAGAAGGGGAGTAAACCCAGGAGAGGGCTCACTTTTCAGGCATCAGACAAGGTGACGAGGTCTCTGTGAGATACTAATAAGGAATAGTTGCAGTAAGCAGGCTCTAAATTACAAAGCACATACCCGGGGCCTGAATGCTAAGATAAGTGAGGCTCTGTGGGTGTCAAAGGGTCCAAGTGAAACTCTAGAAGGAGCCAGGCAGCAGCCAGAAGGAAGGGTCCAATGGCAGGGTGGTCACGGGTCTTCCGTTCCTGGGAGGTAGGGCAAGTCCTTTACTGGGTCTAGAAAGCAGTTATAGAAGTCACATGCTAATCATGGACTAGCAGTTATGAGCAACTCTATTGTCTGCCCTGACCTGCATGCTGTGGGGTCAAGAACCAGAGCCTCCAAAAGCGTCCTCCGCATTCCTTAGGCTGAGACTTAAAGGACGTGGTTGAGAACCCACAGCGGTGTAAGCCGAGTGGTAACCATCACGACCACATCAGGGCACTGATGGAATGCGAGGCTGGGAAGCATCCGTGCGGTTGGTCTGGGCTTTTTCCCTCCCCATTTGGTTCTCGTTTTCAGTGGAATGTGTTTGTATCCTGTGTGTTCCTATCAGTTTGTTTCCCTGTGGTGTGTGACTGCTTGTCTCTGTGTCAGTAGGAAATTAGCATTGGAAGGTGAACTGTGCCCCACCCCCTCCCCTGGGCTTCTTGTTAAACATTTACAAATACAGCGAGTTCATTGAAATGGGAATTTCATCACATCAAAGGCTCCTTTGGATTTTTTAACACCTTGTAGTTTCGAGTGCTATTGTATGTCGTCCATAAAGCATGCTAAGGTTTGTCAGATTCCAGCAAGAATCCACCTTTCCTGCCTCTCATGCTTGTCCACAAGACAGGCAAAGGGAGGCCAGAGTCGTTCTGCGGCTGAAGAACAACATACCAGCATGCCTCGCTCCTGTCTGTAGATAAAAGAGATGGCTTATTGACTGGGTTTTACTTGATGTAGTATCAGGTGATACATAATTTATGGCGGAAAAGCCTTGCTCCTGGTTTATTTGGCTTTTGTCTTTTAAGACCAAATGAATAGTGACTTGAGCCTTACAGATATTAATGAGCGTGCATTACAGCCACGTGAGGTGGCGGACTGGCGATAACCCCCGCCATGGTTTGTCTTGATTAATTGAATCCTTTTAAGCCCTTGAATAGCGAAGAGGTCTGAGTGACTTAAAACAGGAGAGATTTCTTATTTTATTTATTTATTTTTTTTCAAATTCACCTTCCAGTTTAACTCCAGGGCAACCTCGTCTGTAGTAGATGCTCCTAAATAATTCAGGGACGCGGAAAGGAAGAGAAGTCAGTGAACCAATTAGGTTCTTTATGGAAAGCACGCTGCTGTATGCAGCCCACTTTTTTGGCATTGTGTGCTTTGGGCTCAAGTTCATTGCTCCCAAACAACCCATAAATCTTGAGGTAGCTCTTCTGGTGGTCTTTTAAATTCTTACCTACTTCATCACCCTTGAAGTTATGAGACTTTCGGCTGTCATGTTGGCTCCCTGTGTCAGCAATCCCATGTGTGTCAGAAGCTAACTGTCCGCCAAAGGGTTGTTAATGGCTAGGTTCTGGGGATCAGATCACCAGGCCTTTCTCCCGAGGTACTGGGTGGAATCACACCTCGAACTTCTAATCAGTAGTTGATTTTGTCAACCCTTTGCACCCAGGTCATCTCCCAGGAAACATGAAACCCAAACGTAGAGACGCCAAACCAAACATTAGTCAGTGAAGAGTCAAGGACGACTCTGGCAGCCCCACGTGTTTCCAACACAGTACTTAGTAGGGAGCTTAATGACCTGTTTGTGGACGTGCGTGAGAACAGTCAGGCACCACATCCGCACCTCAGCCCCACTACCCTCTCCTTCCCTAGAGCCACAATGACTTCGGTGAACACCCTAAGCTCCTGTCTCTCATTCCGATGGTGCCTCCAGCTTGAGAATACGCAACTGCAAAAAGTTATCGTTGTAGAGAACACTTGACGAATTTTCTACTCGTGTATTTCTGAAAGCCCTGATAATTCATTTTAGGCCAGTAAACATCTAGCCAAATTGAACTGAATTGAAACATGTAACTGCTTATGCAACTTGAATCCACCTCAGGCCTCTGAGGCCTGGGAGCCAGATGCCTTCCTGGTAGGCCATCCAACGGTTCTTTGCAGATGTCACCGTCTGTGTCACTTCAGCCACTCAATGGGAAGCCCTTTGAAGGCAGGATGACTCCCTCCAGTGCCGAAGTAGAGATGACGCTCAAATGTCATGGGTGGAATGAGTGGATGCTTGTTCTCGTTCTGCCTCATTCACAGCCTCGCACACTGCGAAGTCCCAGCTCCGCATAGCCAAGGCTGTAGTCATTTGCTGGGAGATATAATTATTCTTAATGTAATGCACTTTTATCTTCCAGAGCTATTCCAATAATTAAGAAATTGTTGGAAGTAACTTCAGACACCGCCCAACAAGTCTTTTGCACTATGGACAGAGAATGAGTCACAGAGAGGGAGGATAGATGATAGGAGACATTCCCCTTCCCTAAGGGAGCCACATGAACAAGAAGCGCAATGTAATGTCTTCTTAGAAGATGACTACAAGTTTGGTTCTCTTATTATATGGGTGCCAGCACTTTGTTAACTTTTAACCCTTTTTTCTTTATTTGTGTCTTCACAGTGGAAAGGTGAAATCCAGGAATTTTGTCCCAACACGAAAATGCTGTTGGTTGGCTGCAAGTCTGACCTGCGGACAGATGTTAGCACATTAGTAGAGCTGTCAAATCACAGGCAGACACCGGTGTCATATGACCAGGTATGTATGCAATGGTGAATCTTTTAAAGAGTGAGCGAAAGAAGGCATCAATCAGAAAGGATTGGGTAAAAACCGGAAAATGAATCTCGAATGGTTCAACCAGTGGTCAACTCCAAGTTAAAGATCCTGCACTAAGGAGCAGGATGAACGTCATGTATGCAGATTGTGACCATCTGCAAGGACAAATGTAAGAATGTTGGCATTTCTACACCTGTGCCCTTACAGTGAGCATTTAAATGTGCCCCGTGTAGCCCTGAGCTCAGAATACTTTTAATATTCCTGAAACCAACCAAACCAAAAGAATCACCACCATCGAGTCCATTCCAGCTCACAGTGACCCTATCGGACAGGGTAGAACCGCACCTGTGGGTTTCCAAGACTGTACCTCTTTATAGGAGTAGAGACATTTGTCTTTTTCCCAAGGAGCAGCTTGTGGTTAGCAGTCCGACACTTAACCACCTTTTGGTGAGTAGCTTAACACTTAACCACTGTGCCACCAGAGCTCCCAAAACCTACAGAATGAACACTAAATGACCCAGAAGCAAGGTGTGACTAAAACTAGGTTATAGTGTGATACTGGACCCCGTCCAAAAGCTTCCCGATACTTTTCAATGGCTTCCTATATAAGGACTCATGTCTGTCCAAAAGTAAGACCGACTTGTCGATATGATATCACATGTGAACTGCTGCCCCATATGCTAACATATCAATAGACTCATATATATATTCCCCCACCAAGTACATACACGGCTACTCAAAGGCTCCCTTTTTCTATCTGTGTAACTCTGCTGGGTGTAATGGTAGATATTAGCTGTAAGAGAATGTGGTCAAAATCGAGAGAACTCATCCTACTTTATAGTCAATTACGCAATAAAAGACTGAAGAAAGAGGCCGCTGCCCCTCTCCAAACTCATGCTCAGGCATTTCCTCAATTTTTCAGACAGAAGGAGAATCTGTTCGGAAGTTCATTCTTTTGAAATCTGCTACCAAATTCGAAAAGGGGTTATGTGAGAATACTGAGCATTTATTCAGAAAGTGATTATTTAAATATGCTATTTTAATGCTCATACTCTTATTATTGTATGTATTGCTTGTATTGACCCCATTTAGGAATCATTGTGTGTTTCAGAAAGCTATAGATGTCCTAATAGTATCTGGACCCAAAGACACAATCTCATGAATTTCCAAATCAATTCTAAACTCCACCCCTTATCCCTATTTGTTTGTTTGTTTGTTTGTTTACTTCTTATGCACTAGCCAAGAGTGCCAGGGAAACTGAATGTCCCCTGAGGTGCTGAATGAAGCAGGCTGGATGGGCCGGATCCTCCTGCTGGAGCCATTGTAGAAAATGCCTAGCTTCTGTTCATGGTCTTCAGCTAACTTTTTCCAACGATGGATTATTGGCTGGTTTGCTTCCACCTGGAAGACCTAAGCCTCCAGTTACTCTTGGTTACAGTGCACAGTGACAACGACTCACCCTCTTAGTGCCTCTTCCTCCTGAGTCACTTCATAACTGAGCATTTGTGTCCCGCCCTCATTAGTTGGAGACCGAGTGACAGTAGGTTAGCCTGTGGCGCCTGTGAAGAAGAATGGAAACGGATTGTGTTGGTGATTGCGCAACTTTTAAAAATACCTTTAAGCCATTGAATTGTATTGCACACGAAGTGTGCGTCAATAAGATGGTTAAAAAAAAAGTATCTTTGAGGCATGCTGAGTCATGCATCTTTTCTTAGCCTTGACCTTGATTGTAACTATGTAGGAAGGAATAAAGTAACTGAAATTAATGCAGATGTGTATATTTCATAGCAATGCTTGGAAAACGCAGCTAACACTTTAGAAACCATTTGATGATGCACTGTCGTGTTCTGCTTATTAGAGGACATTTTCTCACTTTTCTCAAAGACCTTGCTGATGAGAATCCTTTCTTTCTCTTCTCAGGGGGCAAATATGGCCAAACAGATCGGAGCTGCTACTTACATTGAATGCTCATCTTTGCAGTCCGAAAACAGCGTCAGAGACATTTTTCACGTGGCCACCTTGGCGTGTGTAAACAAGACAAATAAGAACGTTAAGCGGAACAAATCACAGAGGGCCACAAAGCGGATTTCACACATGCCCAGCAGACCAGAACTCTCAACAGTTGCTACGGACTTACGAAAGGACAAAGCCAAGAGCTGCACTGTGATGTGAATCTTCTGTCGTGTTCAACAAGGACAAGGGAATCTAGTGTAAAAAACAACGACAACAAAACAAAAATGCCAAGGAAAAAGAAAAGTCTGAATGAAGGGTGGGACCCCAAACCCTCTAAACTGGAGGCTTGAGAGGCATTTGGAAGGATGCTCATCTTTGTGGAATCCTGTCCTTAGCCTCGGCATGTAGACAGTGGGGGGAAGTGAATACATTGAGTTTTGAATTGTGACTTGAAAAATATGCCAAAAACACAATGAAAACCCGAGAGACTGACGTGGCCTAGAGAGACAAGGAAGAAGAGGAGGAGGAGGAGGAGGAGGAAGTAAAATGACTGCCTCTGAGAAAGAAGAGAAATTACACTCTGAATGGTGCTTGCGTTTTCCTTTGTTCCAATCTATTCACGGATCTCTGCTTTGATTTCATGTTTCAGTGTTTTAATCTCCTTTACGAAAAAGTATATATTAATACACCGTCCTCACTGGGGAACCGGCACTGTGACCTTAGCGTTTAGTTTTCTAGAGGATGTGAGCTCATTTCCTCCTGGCTCATCATTAAAATGGAAATTGTATCAGGACCCATGGGGTATCCAGAGGAAAAACTTTATGAGGCTTTTGAAATCTTGCCTTCCTGAAGGTAGCTGAGCGAGATGGTTCTAAAGAAAGGCTCTTGCAGTCTGTCAGGATGTGGAGAGAGACCAGCAACGACAGAGATGCTGTAGATCCAGTAGAAAAAAAGAGGTGTTCATTTTTATTCAGTCCCATGGCCTGTTCATCATTGTGATTGTCAGTAAAAAGTGGTCAATTGCTCAATGTAATATTTTTGTGCTGTTTAGAAAAGAGGGTGTGTGGTTTTTCTGATTGTTGTGGTTTTGGGTTTGGTTTTTGTTTTCTTTTCCCCTGCCATCGTTGATAAAAATGCAAAGTCTGATGAAAGGTGTCTTGGTTTGACGTCGTAGAATGATCCAAGGTGGAAAAAATGGAAACAGCAGTAGGTACTGTTTCACCAGAAGAGGTAATGAATGAAGGACCCGAGCAGAAAGCACAGATTGTGGGTAAAGCTGGCTGGGGCGAGGCACCACGAGCACAGACACAGAGCAAAAGGCCTCGCTGGGATGCGTCTGACTGGAGATGGAGTGCTGAGCATGGCAGCGTCTGGGTGATTTGTTTCACCTGCTGGTTGAGTTCACTTTCTTCCAGTGAACGTTCGTAAGCGAAGGACTTGCTCACCCAAGCTTTAGGGAATCCCTAGAGGGAAAAGGATGTGTTTTCCACCCTGGCCCAAGAGTAGGACGTTTCTCCAGCTTCAGCCAAGGCTAGTGCTCAATACTTGACCGCTGTTGTCACAGAAAAGAACCAGCATTTAAAACAGTTTACAGGTACTTTTTGACCAGTTCTTTTAGAGCTTCTTTCAGAGAAGAAACCAGATCCGACCTATTTATCATTGCCGCTTGTTGAAAACGAGCTTTCTTCGCAGTGATAACGCTTCATTTTAGAAGTGTTGAAGCTGTGCTCCCGTTCCATTGTGGCAGGAGAGGAGGTGATGGAGATGCCAACCTTCAGTCCCATGTCTTACAAGCACTTTGTTCTGTCTCTGCAAGAAGATTCCATTCCATTCATTCCCAATGCCGTACAGATATGTTACCACCTGAATATGCTTTGGGTGATGCAGCGCTATGCTTTGGGCAGTATTACAAAATAGCTGGCAAGTGCTTTCTGTATTTAAGTATTGTAAAAAGAAAATAAGTTATAATTGTTCTCAAACAGAACTTTAGTTGCATTTTTTTTTTAAAGTTGATGTCACTTTGTATGTTTGTTTGGTCAATGTTTCTGCAGTATTTATTAAAACATACTTTTCTTTTTTTCTTCAAATAAAAAAGTAACCATGTCTTCGTCTAAATGTGACCTGTCTTTTTTTAATCTACTTCCCAGGCTAACTGTTGAGTTTTGTTCTTTAATAGACATGGCTACGAATTGAGTCTAACAGTGCCTGAACCTCTGGGAGGCTTTGGGTTTGTTTTGTTTTTTGGTTTTTTTTACTTATTCTTGGTAGTAGTTATAGTAGTTTCTTGGATAAATCAAAGCATATAAAGATTTTCATAGAACAAGGAAAAAAAGAGGGGCATAATTCAGCTTAAGGGACTTGATCATATATAAGACCCATGATAATGCCTTATAGAAAACAGGAATTATTACGGAAAATACAGAAGTTGCTTTGAATTCCTAACTATGGAAAGGGCTTCAGGAAGTGCATGGGAAAATTCCATTATCTTTTTACTCTGTGTTTCCACCAACTGTTTGAAGCCCCAGCATGATGTGGTCTCACGTCCATGTTGAGTTCTAACGGAAGTCTAGATTGTTGCACTTCAGCTTAGGGTCTGAATCTCAGTCTCTAACCTAGCCCTCTATCCGGCAGCACAGGTTCTGGCTCATAGCACCTGATTGTGCAGATGGCCAAGGACCACTAATTGGACCACTATTATAACAAGTGGATGTGCAAAAAGAGAAAGAAAAAGTGACCGTGTTTATGGTAGCAAATCTAACATATAGGCCAACATAATGTTCCTAAAGGTTTGAGAAAATCTAAGGATGGAGTGCTTTCTGACTAAAATGCCCCTGGTAGCATAGTCAAAGCCACCAGCCATCCAGTTAATGCATCCAGTGGCACTGGGAGAATGAGGAAGCTTTCTACTTCCATAATGATTTACAGTCTTGGAAACCCAGTGGGGCAGTTCTACCCTGTCCTATAGGGTAACTAGTGAGTTTTAAAAGAATCCTGGACTCCCATTAGCCATGTTGATTATCATTTCTTTGGTTAAACTCTTGCTCATACATTTCACAAAAATTTCCAAAGGTAGGAACTCAGAGATGCTTTTGGGACAGCTAATCCACTTCCTTCAAATAAAAACTAATCTTGGTGACTTGAAAAAAATCTAGAGGATTATTGCTTGGAAATAATTCTCAGAGGTTCAAAGCAAAGGGACAGCTGAGCCTCTAGAGTGAATAAACAAAGAGCTTGGACATGAAGGCAAACCTTAAAAGAAGTTTTTTTTAAAGCTCGCATGGCCAAAATGTTTAACTTTATTGGCCAAGTAGTAAGAAAATCAAAGCATTTTCTTAATCCTTGGCATTGTGTAATTTCTGAGCATAATGTCTAACTCAGGCTCGCAAGAAACTCATTTCTCGACAATGACTAGTGCAAGGGGGAAGTCAGCTGAGGTTCTGGTGCCCTCGGCAAATAGTGTTTTGCATTTTGAAGGCTGTACAGTAATGCTTCCTCTGGAGAATTGTTCTTTTTTGAGAACTTTAATTGGTTAACCAAAAAAATAAAGTTTCTCTTTCATCTTAAGCATAAATGCCTTCCTTTTCTCCTCTGACTTGCTTCGGCAAACATTTATTCTAAGCATTCTGTGAGCATTCCTTTCTATTGATTAATGATCCTGACTCAGGCTTTTTAAATACTAAGAGGGGGCGTTTCAAACTATTGAGTAAGACCTCAACAACGTAGCTGACCTCGACTAATCTTTCCAGGAATAGTTGCTTAGGAAAGCCTACACTTACAGGGAATGATTTTTAAATGCAAACAACTATTTCAGGGAACTATCTTCCTATTAAAAGGAATATTTTTTTTAAAGCACCTTATCCCTTAAAGATTCCAGATATTTTTGAAATGGCTTGCTGTCTTTTTTATGGATAATTTTGACATCAGCATTCCATTCTAAACCTTCCAGACATTGTTAGCTTGTTTTGATTTGGCTAATCTTCCATTCATGAAGGACTTATTGAGTGACTACTACATGCTAGGTCATTTTCTAGGCCAACTTTTCTTGCTGACACATAGCCAAGTCCCTGCTCCCAAGAGCTTATAATGAAGTAGAGAAAAACTGTTACAAGAATGTACCATGTTGGGTTATAATCTTCACGAACCTTAATTGTACATGTTGCATTGCTGAAAGCACAGAGCATGTAGCAAAGCCCATCATGAAATAACCACATATGTTAGAACACATAATGCTATGTAATATGGCGGCATGAAGAAAGATTTCCAGCTGCATTCCGAGAGTTGGGGTCTGTTTATGGTGTTATGGGAATGATACCAGTCATCACCATTATTTATATATTCTGTAGCTAGCTAGAGGTCCAGTAGAGAAAAACATTCCATAACAGATGAGTGAGACAGCCCCTCCTAGTCATTTGTTGTAAAATGTTCTGACATTTATCAAGGATCCCTGGTGACATGATGAGTTATGTATTGGGCTGTTAAGCACAAGATCAGTAGTTCAACACCATCAGCCGCCACTCCATGGGAGAAAGATGCTTTTCGATGCCTTTAAAGACTGAGACTCTTGGGAACACACAGGCGCAATTATAGGGTCGTAAAAGAGTTGCTGTGATTCAGAATTGACTCAGTGACAATTAAATGAGTACTAGGAGGTACCCCTCCTACCCAAACAAATAAACAACAACAACAAAAAGAGAAAAAAGCTCTGCTGGGTAGAGCTTTCGTAGTACTCATTGTTTCCTGCTAGGCAAGCATTGAGCAAATTGCTGTGAGTTAGTGCACCTAGTGGCATCACTTGGGAAGTTTCTCTCATCACAATAATTTTTTTCATAAAAGCAATTTCACTTGAACTTCATTTTTTGTGACGGCAAATTTAAGAGAACAACACATGACTATGAGATTTTGTTTCCTGCTTAGGAGAAATGCCACAGAAACTGTTGTGATGTTGAACACAGCTTACAAGGACAACACTATGGAAAAACTCAAGTGTACGAGTGGTTGTCTCATTTTGAAAAAGGTAAAATGTCGATTGATGACAAACCTCATTCTGGATGTCCGTCAACTTTCCGAACGGACAAAAATGTCAACTCATAGTACATTTGGAGTTCATTCCACCAGGTCAGACTGTTAATCAAACTTTCTAGTTGTTCTGAAAAGATTGTGTGGCAGTGTGCAACAAAAAAACGCCCTCTTTGTGACAGATGGGGGACTAGTTTTGCCACCATGACAGTGTACCTGCTCATGTAGCCATCTTAGTGCACCAGTTTGGGGCAATATTCAGCATGCCTCTCTTACCCCACACACCTTACTCACCTGACCTCGCCCTGTGCAAGTTTTTTTTTTTTTTCTGCACATGAAGAAAGATAAGAAACAACAGCGACTGAGGACATAGAAGAGGTAAAGAAAAAATGAGAGAGGTGCTTTCAGTCATCCAAACAAAAGAGTTTGAAAAATGTTTCTAAGAATGGAATCACAGATTTGAAAAATGTATTGTGTAAGAGAGAGTACTTTGAAGGTGACAGGTTGTTTTGTTTAAAAAAAATACATTTTTTGGGGGGGTATCACCTCCTAAAATCATTTTGAGGACAGTGAGTTGAGCAATTATCAAATAAAAATTATTCTCAGGGATTAAACCATATATAAGGTAATTATTACAGTAGCTTTGGGTGAAGATATAGAACCCAACATTGGTCTAATGTTAAAAATATGAAAGTCTTTCATGGAAGTCTAATATTTTTGCTAAATATTCAACGGTAATAAATTCAAAGATTTGTTTGATTCTGCCCACCCATGAGCACAGGGGAAAACCCGCAAGACAAACATTTTGAGGACCAGCAAAACCAATTCGAGTCTAGGGATTTTATTTTTAGATTTATTTTGGTTTTGGTTTTTGAAGGCAAATATTTGTGCTTTTCTTCTATCACTAAGGTGAGCTCTATTTAAAACATAAGTGAAAAAAAAGCTAGCTCACAACTAGAAGTGAAAGCTAGGTCAGTATATGGTCAACACATTGTCAAAGTCATGGCAAAAATGCCAATCTCACAAATTAAGTACCAGGCACTGTTCTAAATGAGTGAATGACAAAATGCCAATCATAATTGTAGGCTTGTACATGACCTTAAAATTGGTAAATTGTTGGAAGTCTAGTAGGAAAAAACATTTTTTTCAAGACAATATAAATAGCCCACCACAACGATCAACAGGAAGTTAAGTACCTTCAACTTTTTATTTCATAGATGGGAAAATGAATAATATTCTCCAGCTAGTAGCCAAGACAGCTGAGATTAGAAAGTCAGGCAGGGCATTTGGACCCTTGCAATTCCATACAGTCCCTGTCCTGACATCATTCTAACATAGAAAATATTTCCTATGTAGAGTGCATGAAAGCTGAATACCATGTCAATATAGCTGCTCTCTGAGCCAGAGTGTGGTTTAATCCATCCTGACCTTTCTAAGTCTGCAAGGTACTATCACTACCTTTTCCCACGTTTCTGACTGCTTCCTGTCTCCCAGCACTCTCTGATCCCCACTCTTCCCCCTCATCCGTTTCCTTTATCAGGGAACAGTGAAAGACTACATGAATGGTTGATACACGTGCTACATGTGACCTCTCGATCTGCAATACAGGCTCCACATCAATTATTCTACAAACTGTCAACCTAAAATGGATGCAATATATATGAGCATTGCAACAAAATATACATCTGTATATCAAAGGTTGTTAATAAGCCATTCTCCGGTCCTGATGCTGCATTCTTCTTCATATCATCCAGCCTCACTGATTATTTACCGATTGAATTAGTTTGGTGAGAGAATATAACCCTGATGCATACATTTCCTAATTTTAAACGAGGCAGTATTTCCTTGTTCTGTTTACACAGCTCGCTCATGATCCACTTACATGTTCCAGCGGAGCACAGTCAAGTCTAGAGTTTCCATTCTTCTCAAGGCTACCCGTACTTTCTTATGATCCACATTGTCAATAGCCTCTGCATAAGTAATAAAACACAAACATTTTGCTGGTAGTCTCTCATTTCAGCTAAATTCCATCTGACATCAGGAATGAATAGCCCTTGTTTCACATTATCTTCGGAATCTTGCCAGAA